GAGCACATGGCGCAGGGTTGTGTCCAGACTGCTCTCCAATATTTCCAGTGAGAGAGACACCACAGACTCTCTGGGCAGTCTGTTCCAGTGCTCGGTCACTTGCACAGTAAAGAAGTTCTTCCTCAGGTGGAACTTCCTGTGCATCAGTTTCTGCCCATTGCCTCTTGTCCAGTTCTTGGCACCACTGAGAAGAGCCTGGTCCATCCTCTTGACGCCCTCATTTCAGAGACTGAGAGATGTTGATGAGGTCCCCTCCCAGATGCCTCCTCTTGAGGCTCAATAGGCACAACTCTCTCAGCTTTTTCTCACAAGAGAGATGCACCAGTCCCCTCATCATCTTTGTAGCCCTCCTCTGGAACCACTCCAGCAGCTCCATGTCTCTCTTGTACTGGGGAGCCCAGAACTGGACAGAGCATTCCAGATGTGGCCTCTCTAGGGCTGAGCAGAAGGGCAGGATCACCTCCCTGGACATGCTGCCAATGGTCTTCCAAATGTACTACAGGATACCTTTGGCTTTCTTTGGCTCCAGGACTCCCAGGACCTCCTCTGCAGAGCTGCTCTCCAGGTCAGCCCCCATCCTGTACTGGTGCAGGTCATTCCTTCCCCGGTGCAGCACCCTGCATTCACCTTTGTTGAATTTCAGATGGTTCTTCTCTGCCCATCTCTCCAGCCTGCTGAGGTCCTTCTGAAGGGCTGCACAACACTCTGGGGAATTGGCCACTCCTCCCAGCTTTGTGCTGTTGGGGAACTTGCTGAGGAGGCCTCTGCCCCTTCATCCAAGTTATTGGTGAAAAGTTAAACAATATTGGGCCCATACTGAACCCTGGGGGACACCACCAGTGACAGACCTCTACCAAACCCTGTGCCACTGATTACTGTCCCACCCTCTGGGATGTGCTGTTCAGCCAGTTCTCAAACCACCCCTCTGTCCACTCACCCACTCCACACTTCCTGAGTTTGCCTGTGAGGATATTGTGAGAGACAGCGTTGGAAGCCTTGTTGAAGTCAAGGTAAGACAATATCCCCTGCCCTCCCCTCATCCATCCAGGCTGTTGTGTCATCATAGGAGGCAATCAGTTTGGTCAAGTATGACTTACCTTTAGTGAATCCATGCTGACTATTCCTGATCACCTTCTTCTCACCCGAGTGGATAGTGATGGCCTCCAGAATGAGGTGCTCCATCACCTTTCCAGGGATTGAGGTGAGGCTGACTGACCGCCAGTTCCCTGTGTCTTCCTCCTTGCCCTTTTGGAAGACTGGGACAACATTTGTTTCCTTCCAGCCCTCAGGCACCTCTCCTGATGTCCATGACCTTTCAAAGATGACCATGAGTGGCCTGGTTGTGGTATCCACCAGCTCTCGCAGCATTCCCTTAGGGCCCATGCACTTGTGGAAGTCATGTTTTTCTAGATATTATCTAATCCTCCCTCACTAAGGAAAGGTCTTCCTTCCAACATCCCTTTACCCTGGTCTCCTGGGTGAGATATGCCTGAGAGATGGTCTTGTCAGTGAAGATGGATGCAAAGAAGGCGTTTGGTGACTCTGCCTTCTCTGCGTCCTTTGTTACCAGGATTTTCCCTCCACTTAATAAGGTCCCACATTGTCCTTTGTTTTTCTTTTGTAATTGATATATTTGAAGATGTCCTTCTTGGTGTCTATGACATCCTTGACCAGATTTAAATCCAGATGGGCTTGACCTTCTGGTGCCATTTTTTTTTTTTGCAAGACCATTATCAGTATTTTTAAAAAAATGTAATTAAAGGCAAGATCCTAGACTAAAACTAATCCAAACCTGCATGTTTTCTGTGTTTTACCATTCTGACAACAGCAAAAAATTTGTAGGTTAAAATAACTCCCAGAAGAGGAAATATTATTTATAGCTCAGGTTTTTTTTCTTCATAAAGAACTGTGTGGTAAGCATATATTTAGAAATTAATTGAAAAATAATAATAACAAAGAATTATGAGAACTTTTCACCTCTGTGGGTACTTTTTTCTTTTCCCTTAGCAGTCCTGAATATGGAACAGGGAAACAGGTGTCATAAATTCACAAAATAATTATTCCCCATTTGCTATATTACATTTTATTTATATTCCCTGGGTGTTATTTTATGTTAAATCTGCAAGTTCTCTTGTTAGATTTTAGTTTTCACCCCAGCAAATGAGGAGATAGCACATAACCACTGTTGCTGCAGAGATTTCTTTTCCAAAGATTAATTACTCTCCAGTTATGTTCATAAGAGTTTTAAATATTTCTGATAGTTTTTGGTTACTGAATTTTTGTGACAGACTTCCTTTTTGATTGGCAATAACATGGACAAAATCTTCAGTTTTTCTATTAAAGGTTAAATTCATTTTCATGTAAAACCTATTAAGGTTTTGGCTTCTAAGGTCCATGTAACCTGCTCTCTCTGTTATGTCCTTGAGGAAAAGAAGCTTCAGACTTCCATGATGTTTGCCTTATAGTGAAGAGTTTGAAATAAATGAAATTTTGATCTGTGACAGAAGATGTTGCTTCTGAAGCCACAGTGTCCTGTGTACCTACTGAACAGAAAGGGGGAGATGTTAACTGCATTAAGGAGCATGTAGTCAAGAGATGATGGAAGAGATCAGAGGGAATAACAGCAGCTGGAGTAGATGTACAAATCTGTTGGCAGCCTCATCAACTGTGTCTCAAGATTAGTTCAGCAGAATAGAGCAGAGCCTTGCAGACAAGCTCAGAGAAGTCCAACCATGGATTTCTCTTTTCTCTGCTACATTTTAGATGTCAGTATGGCATTCCTTTGGTTATGATTTACAACATCAGCCCTGGTACTGCTTCCTTCTGACAAGCCAGGGTAAGAGGCTGCAGACTGTAACAGCACACTGGCTGTCCAGCCATGCTGAGCTGAAGAGAGCTGAGCAAAGGCACCCAAGTTATTGCTCATCAACACAGATATTTGCAGTTATCTTAAGTGTGGGCCTGAAAATAATATTGCTGTGTTAGCTTGCCTCTAAGCCTCTGATAAAGAGTATTACCTCTGATCATGCTATACTGCTTCCATCTCTGGACTAACATTTTTCCCATTTGCTTGAGGTCTCTGAGCCCTGCTTTACTGAAGTTAAATTCTCTTCCATTCATAGAGTGTGACTTTGCAGAATAGCAGTGCAGAGGAGCACAAGTTTACATAGACTCCAGGACAGCTGACTGTGAAGAATGAATAATCTGAGTTTGAGAGGAACTGCTGTCCTTTTTCCCATCATGAACACAATCAGCATCTGTAAGACCTTTTCTCCAGTAAACCCTGGCTTTCAGTATCAGAATTTTTTCTTCATAGTAAAAATTGCTTTTTTCCTAGTTTTTTGCAATTATCTTAATACATAGATCAAAGCAGATGAATAAAATTCATCCTCTGTTGATTTCAAAGACTTTAGTTGAGCAGAAGTATGAGACAGGCCTGTATTTAGAAAGCTGGCATGGTTAAAATTTTGGGAGGTAAATGATGATTCAAGATATGCACAATGTAATAGAAGGCCTAGAAGGAAAGCACAAGTAACAGTCCCAATGGAAGCAGGGTATTTAGCACATTATGGAGGTGTATTCCACCAGGTGATTCAAAAGCATTTACCCTGCCCTAGCTCTTATTATGTCCAAATGAGAGGCAGACCAGCCCATTTCTCCACCAGAGGTGACTCAGACCTGCCCTGCAGAGATGCAGGGTTGACCAGGTTAGCAAGATGGAGCAGCACCAGGCTGGGTTGGAGACACACGCTGATCCACTAATTGCAGCAGGTAATTTTTGTCAGTGCAGCTCCTCAGGCCTTTTTTAGAAGTGAAAACAGCTTTGCCCATGGGCACATTCTCTAAGGAGAGCAGCTGTTTTCATAGAAACAATTAAAATCTGTACCAAGGAGACATTTTATCAGAGTTCTGGCCAGAACCGCTGCCCCTGCCCCCCCTGCTCCATGCATCTAGTGTATTGCACTCCTTGCAGGTGTTTCAAGAGGGAGAAATGAGAGAAGGAAAACAAGGCTTAGCCAAAAGTAAGCATGACTAACAAATTAGTCATAATTGAGGTTTGTTAATTGCATAGAACCCAATTAAATCTTTCCACATCTGAAATGGAATAACTTATGCTCGCAGCAGAGCTGTTTCGCTATGAGACATTTCTGGTGACACTTGTCTGTTGATTTGCCGTTAGATAACTTCTTGGCTTGAGGCCAGTGGGGCTGAGCTAAGAGGCTTTTTGTACATGTGTTTGCAGCATATTTTCATAAAGGGTTGCCAGAGTTTGGCCCATGATGACTAGTGAGTGGATTTATTACATTATTTTAGATTGTTATATTATTATTATGCATGACTGACATTGTGAAATTCTTATGTTGCAGAGCTATGTAGAGTTCATATAAACCAGTACGCCAGAGAGGCATTTTTCATGACATTCCAACCTAAAGTGCAAATTTTATGTAAATGAAAAGTCACAATCTTATGTAGCATCTGCTAGAATGAGAATACCTCCCCAAATATGTTGCCTCAAAGTGGACTTAGAAAAAAAACCTTTCCTGTGATTTGAAAAAAAGGCAGATGACCAAAACATTTCCAAGTGTGTGTGCCTCTTCCCTTCTTAGTTCCAGCTGGGGCCGCAAGTGGAAATACCAAAATACCACAGAAATGCAGTTCTTGTGGTACTTCCAGCCCCACAAGAAGCACGAAATATTAGAAATCTTCCAATAAATCATGTTTTCATGAGATTTCTAGCCCATCACTGTGAGCTCAAATAGTTTGAATAATAAACTCAGCTCTTGTGTGCTTGCCCACCTCATCCTCAGGAGATTTACCTTTATATTCAAGGACTATTCTGTCTGAGATACAGCTGATGTTCCTTCTAAGCCATAATATATTTTCAGTTTCACATTAAGCTCAGCAATAAATTGGATTAAGTTTTGTTATGAAAGACAGATTTAACTTTGGCCTTCCATTTCTGATAGCTGCAGGACAGTTGTTTTTTGTTTGTTTTCCAGAATAAAGGCAACTACAAGGCTGAACAGCGTGAATGCCCATGGCAGAAGAGATGCAGTCCACAATTTGGGTGCACACCTGTGTGTGGACAGGTTAGAAAAAGCATCATAAGAGGGAGAAGAAAGAAGTACACACACCCTGACCTGCACCTTGACCTGGCAATGGCAGAAGAGAGAGGACTTCCAGGATGAGCTGATGAGTAAAAGAAGACCTGTAAGAAACTCTGCCTCTCTGGTGCATCCTCTAGTAAACAGCTCTTCCTTGGTAAGCCCAGCACCAGCTTCTCTTCTTATATGGCACAACCTGTAAGACACTAGGTTTTGTGGCTGGCTGAGCATATGAGGAAGGCTCACCAGATCAACTTAGGTCAGTCTATATGGTGGTGGTGCTATCAGGCCCATTTTTCTGTCCTTTCAGAACAAAGCTTTGCTGAAACCTCTGTAAGAAATCAGGTCAGTGTAATTGCACTGAAGAGACTTTCATTGTTGCTGGTTGAAATTTCACCACAGACAGATCATAAGATTTTCATGACCTTGTGATTCTTTTGTGAGTGGTGGTTGTGCAACAGATCCCCTGGTAAGATAAGACAACATGAGGGTTTACACAAAGTAGGAAAGTATACAAGAGATATGGTTTGCCACCCTACTCCTTTAAAGAGGTAACAACTACATATCAGGCTCAGAAAAAAAAAAAAGCAAAAATATATCAAGATTTTTATTCTCTTTTGAGACATGATGATGCCAGATCTACAGTTTTCAAATTTTAAGGTCTCTCTCTGTGCTAGGAAGATTACTGGTTGAAAGCAGCAATTATTGACAAACATTTCTTTGCTCCCCAGCAGCTGGGTCTGGGCACACAGTAAACAGATATATCCATTGTGACCACTTTTGTGGCAGCAGGTTCCTTCCATATTGCCTTCATGCTGCTGTTGAGCAAATCTGAGATGGCTGTGAGCATTACCTTTGCATAGCTAACCTCTCAGGTTACTGGTAAAAGAGGGAAAAAAGGAAAGGAGAGCTCACTTCCCAGTATTTTGACTAGGAATTTTGAGTAAACATTTCAGTGTCTGTGATGGAGGATGTGGCTGGACATACCTCTTTCACCATCTCATATGTGATATTGCTGGACAGATGTCATCTCTACTTTCTGTAGACTGCACTTCTAGCACTTCCCAACCCTCTGGTGCCTGCAGCCCCAGGCTGTTTTGTTCAGTGCAGACTGTCACAGAGGGAAACACATGCTCAAGCAGAAGCATTACTTTTATTCTTGTGCTTTTGTCCCTCTCATTTAAAGTGTGAACATATCTGCTTGATTTTTTGGTATGGAAACCAGTCCTAACTATTTCCTGAGTTAGAAGTCTGAAGAGACACAGACCTTTGAAACGTTTTCTTGGTGTGTGGACAAAAACTAGCAGTAACTTTATTATATGGTATATGACCAATTCTTACTGGTATGCAGATTGCAAATGGTTCTGGCTGCTTACAGTCACAAATGCTTTGTCTATTTCTTCTTTCTTTTGCATCTAGTGTAAGATCTTTTGAGCATTTATATTCATTTAAAAGTAAAACACAAAGCTCTTTTGCTTATCACATGAAGTTCTTCAAGAGCAGACACATGCTCACACACACTCACACACACACATATGTATATGTATATACATATATACCTCAGGAAAGAAAAATTTTCTTTAATAGCATGGCTTGCATGGACAATAAAACACCTACTAAATATAGTTAATAAGTTCCCGTAATACATCTTAGGTTTCAGAAATTTAGAACCTGGCTATACAAAGTGACTTGATACCCCTGAGAGTATAATTTTTCTTTAAAAAAAGAAGACTATGTGTTGAACTGGCCACTGCTTTTCCTTCCAACAGGAAGCTTTTCCTTAAACGTTGGATACAATGATGTGTTTATTAGTTTTAATTCGCTACTCTGGTTAATAGCTCCCTCTCTTTCTTTTGAGCACAGAGATGTGTTCTGGGATGTGTTGCACATTCCTCCTCTTAAAAATTTCACCAGAAAACAACAGACTTGGCAATAAAGCAGGGGAAAGAGGATGTTTGTTTGGAAATTATTTGGGGCTTGCCTCCTGTTCTAAAATCTTGTGGTGGGAAGAATGTTGAGCCCTTTGTGAAGTACGCCCTTCATAAATAGACTGAAGGGATATTCACATGCTTCAGAGCTGAACAGGACGGGTAAGGTAGGGAAAGCCTGACAGTGCTGTGATGGTGAGAGCTGCAGCCAGCTGGGAAGCAGCCAGAGTGCCATGCCCAGAGCAGGGGTGTGGGGCCTGGTGCACGGCTAAAATCTAAATCATCCAGGATGAAGAGATGAGCCAGCAGTGACAGACAATGGTTACTGTCCAGCAAGGCCTGGGTGGCCTGTGGTTTAATAGTTCCTTAGCCAGCAGTGTGTCTGTAAAATCATCTGAAAAGCAATCAGGGGCTGTCTGTCATTGCTGGAACTACTTAATAGCCACCCTGGAGCTACCTTGGGGCAAGGCAATGAGCTGCCCTTATAGCTGCACATGGGATCCTTTCCCAGGTCTGGTCACAGGCACGGGAAGGTTGTACTGCTCCCACAACTTTGTACCTCTTTTTTAAATAGACAGAAGAAGGTTGACTGTAAATTTGGCTTCTTTCATTCTTCATGAGCTGACTGATTAGATCTGAGTTTTCTGGGGAACAAAAGGATAATTTCAAAGCACAATGGGGGAGTTCCTGGTCTCTGTATGGTTTCTGGAGTTTTTCAAGGTGTTTTGCAGAATAAATTGATCTGGACCTATCTTGCAGTCTTCTTACTTGTTTAAGCAAGTTGGGAAAAGTTATACTGGAATCACACATCTGCTTTCAAGGTTACTCTGGGTTAAGAGTAATGCAGAAGTCCAGTACTGCTCCCAGCCTCGCAGCCTACTCTTTTGAAAAATTTGGCTGCTCAGCTCAGGATGTCTGCCTGTTCTCCTTCAGAGACATTTGGGGAAATATTCTAAAAAGTGTGTAAGAAAAAGTGTGCCCCTTTAAAGATACTTATGGCAGTTTATGCTCTTGGATCTTAAACTCTCATCTGCTGCTATATGAGTCAGCATGCAAGAATAGGACTACAAAACCATGGAGAAAATTTTGGATATATCCAAGTTTCTGTGATAAATGTGAGAGGTCAGTTTAAAAAGAAGCTCACTATTTATCTTTAAGAGCTGAAAGACAGCTGTATCATCTGTTTCTTAGGAGTTGGTGTCTCTAAAGGTGTGGGGTAGAATGTGAAAAACCTCTTGGTATTACCAGTGATGATGGGAGAGCAGGAAAACTTCAGAAGGAAAATTTAGGAAATGAATTCTGATCACATGGGTCAGCAGAAAGCTAAGCAGGCTAATTGTCTGAGCCAGAGTAATTTAGGGAGTTATACAGGGGAAGATAAAACGTCAGGAGAGAGAGAATTATCAGGAAAAAGGCACATGTTTACGGGTAGATGAGGTTACTACAAGAGGAGGTATAGGAGATAACCTTTGTTAGCACTCATGACTGAATGGTGAGGAGCTGTTTGCCAAGACAGACATGGATGGATTGGCTAGTTGGGCAGGGGAAGAACTAGAAGAAGGCTTAGTCATGAAACCAGTGGGAGAAGAAAAGGACATGGTGGACTTGATCATAGAAGATAAGAGCAGAACAGTCTTGAGAAGAGGAAATAAAGAACAATTACCAGCTCCACAGGTAAAGTTCTGTTTGAACCCACAGTGATGACAAAGCTCCTGCTGCTTTAATGTGTTCCCTCAAAAGAAGATTGAAGCACACAAACACATTTTATGTGTTCAACAACACCAACATAGTGCAGAGAATTTGGTCTATGTCTTCAGTGATGCCTCTAGAAATTTTCTTCTGCCAATTAAGTCCACACATAATTCCACTTAAATGCTGCTGTAACTGGCTTAGTAGAAGTGCTGAGACAGGTGGAGATGGGCTCTGTGCAGTGAGAGGTAAGATTTGGTACGTTACCTGTACCCCAAGCAAATGTCTCAATTGTGTGCTATAGTTCCCGTGGCGTGCCTGCTGCTCTTGGGAATGTTATAAGGGCTTTCAGTTTCAAAAAGGAACAAATATGTCCTGACTTGTAGCTGCAGAATAAGGCCTCACAGAGTATTCCAGCAAGTATTTTGATGGTGTATTTAGAAAGTCTTTCAAATATGACCTTTCAACTACTGATGCCATCCTGTAACTTTCACAAAAGTGACTGTGTCAACTGCATCACATGGCTGAAGCTAGACTGATTTTCAGCCATGTGATGCTGTTTTATCACCCTCAGGACAAAGGTTAAATCCTTCCTTTCTTTTCTCTGTTAGGCACCACTTCCTTTGGTCCTCTTACTTTGATAACTGCTGAAATTCCTGAGGGCCACAGAGTGAAGAGATTTTATAATCCACTGTGCGCTTCTCTGATGAAGAGCACTGCTGGTGTGCTTCATGTAACAGAAATACCTTCACACAATGAAGCAATCATTCTTCCCTGTCAGGGTCTGAATATCTTGATTCTCATCCTGCAGCAGACTTGGCAGGCAACAAATCCCCCAGTTTGCACAGGGCAGTGGCCAGCATAATCTTTCTGCATTTTAAAACATTCTTTAATGCTAGTCTCTCTGCATTCAAATGGTAACTTTAGCTGACATAGGGTTTTGTAGAATATTTGAATTGCAGCCTATTGAAACTCTACCATGCTGAGTTTATGAATATATTTATTGCAGTATAAATGTGTTATTTTCCCCTTTATTTATTATCGTATGAGCATGTTTTTAATACCTGTTCTGTGACTTATTTGGAGGCTATTGTTTCATTTTTCTTTAGATGGGGGCATGTGTGTTATTGAAAGCTTGAATAAAAAGCAGGTAGCATTGAGATAAAGGCTCATAGTTTTTAAACCAACCCAGTCAAGCCTATAGACTGAATGGACAAAATAAATGTAGTACCATATTGCATATTATATGATGGTATAATTAAGTAAATGGACGAGTATTGAATTCATAGCTGGACCAAAGTGAATTTACTGAAGGTTAAGAAATTTCCTGTGTGTTTTTTTTACTCTAGATTTCATGACTGCATGTGCAAAAATTCAGTCTCTCTCTAAGTGAAGACCAATGTAAAATTAATCACACTTTTTAACAGAAAAGGTATGAAGTAAGTCAGGTTTAAAATCTGAGTTTTAAGTATTCCCTTTTCTGCCAATTCTGGAAAACAAACAAGAAAAACCAGGAGCAAAACCCAACACTAAGAGCAACTATCCAGAACTTGGACAGATACTATGCAAAATTCTAATGCCAAAAAAAAAAGGAATGATGACAACCTGACTCACTATTTGCATTAGCCATGCTGAATGCCCACCTGGGCAGGAGGGGTGTGATGCCTGACTGAGCAGTGGTGTGTCCCCAGCGCTGGTGGTGGTGCTGTGCTGCTCTGCTGACACTGGTGGAGACTGACTTGAGGGGACCTGTAGAGACTACCCAGAGCACAGGGTGGTATCTGGGCACCAGGCTGGGCCTTGAAAAGAGGAAAGGCAGCTATACTTCTCCCTGTGCCACTGGTCACCTTGTTCCCCTACCACTTAAGACCCCCAGTGGCACCCAGACCATAGCCACTTGCAGTGGGGATGGTCCTTCCTGGTCTTGTGCCCAAGCACTGGATAATTGGGTTAGAGTGATGGCGAGGCAGGGTTTGGGGCAGAGAGGGGAATGTGGGTGAAGGTGGACATTGAGAATTGGCATCAGAGGGGACCTGGGGGCTGGATCTGTATCAGGATATGTCTTAATGGCTTCTCCCAATTCACAGCTGCATAACTTGTGCTCGAGTCAGGTTTATAATATCTCAGGCATGTGATTCACCAGTGTAAAGGCCACTGGTTACAATTACACATTTATTTTTACCTACTACTAGGGGAATTTCCATTCACTACAATGTGAGCTGGTTGCCCTTGCTCTGTAGTGTTTCACTAGTATTTTTCCTGACAATTCATGTCTAAGAAACACAAGACAGAGAGAGACTTAATGTTATGTGAACGGATTTTCCTAGGGTAACTGTATTCAGTCTTTGCTCAAACTGAACGAATAACTTTGATCTGTCAACTGTGAAAAGTAAACTGGGTGCGACCTTCCGTCATCGGCTAATCGTCTCACTTAATGACATCTGTTAACTTTGTTCTGATATTAGATCATGGTCTTTCTTTGTACTGTCAAGATTTTTCATTCAAGGTCTAATTATTTCACTTTATGTGTATACAGATATCTTGGGAGTCAGTTGCACCTAGTAGGAAGATAATTTTTTCTATTTTGAATCTCAAAAACTGATCACAGTGGTCAGATCAACGTGGCCTTTTAATGGATAAAATACACCAGCTTAAAGCTCAGCATTGTATCTCAATCTGTCTCTTCCCCTCAGTTCCTCACAGGCACTGTATTTACTTTTATTCTTAAGTGAGAGAGGAGGAAAAGGGAGAATTGCTTCTGTCCCAGTAAAGTTTGTTATTTCAATACCTGAAAATTTGATTGGTTTGACTTGTTGCATACATCTGAACTGCCCCACAGGAAGAAGAAAATACTGGTTTTCAGTCTGTCCCTTTCTCTTTCAAGGTTTTTTTGATTTTTTTGCCTTTTAATAGTGACAAAGGCATGGATAGATGGCATTTTGGGGGATTAATGGCCATTTGGGGTTAATGCCGTCTGTCCCTCAGCTCTTTCCAAACAGTGATTAATCTCCAGGGGAATGTGTGTGCCCTGATCGCTACTCCTGATAATGCTCATCCTTATAGTACAGATCAAAACATGTAGACTTATTGTAGTAATGGCCATGTTTTCACCTCCCAGGCTCTGTTCAATTCAGTCAGCCACATCTTAAGCCCCTGGTATCTGCTCACATTCAGTTCAACAGGCATTTTGTCCCTTAGGTCCAATCCTGCAACGTGTCCAATGTTGCTCACCAGTGTTTGTGAACACTAGTAACTCTAGGGAAATTTCCTCTTAGAATGTTAAGGCACTCAGTTCCCCTTCCCTCTACTGTGCAATAGCACTGTAGGGTGTGGGACCACTGAAAAGTGCAAAGGCAAGGAGTGGAAACTGGCTTTTGGGGTGAGGGTGGCCAGATGGGTGGCAGGAGAAGCGTTGCACAACCATGAGATTTTACGCCTGTTTCCTTTATTCTGTCCACAGCCAACTCTTCATTTATTAGTATGCTGTACTCTCTTTGCCAGGTTCAGATGAAAGTAAAATAGTCAGTTAAGTGAATTGCACCATCTGTAGAAGAACAGTGCCTGTCAGTAAGACAGCCCATACTGACCAGGTGAGTAGGTCTAATATTTTTCAGATGCTTTCCCAGGGATAGCTAAGGATTGCAAGTTGCAGAATACTATATCAGCTCTTAAAGACAGGCTGGCTGCTGTGTCTGCATTAGGTTATTTTCTTAGGTATTATTTTCTTGGTTTTATTTCTTAGTACCTTGTCTGGCTACTTTTCCATTTCTGAAGCAGTTTATTCTACATCCTCCTCTGGGAGATTATTCCATAATCTAGTTGTCTTCACTGGGATCCAGCCTCATTTCAATTAGCATTTCATGCATTTAGAGTAGGAGTATCTAGTTCAATATCTGGTTATAAGTAATACACACAGGTAAGGAAAAATGCATAGAAGGTATCAAGACTGCTACATGAAAAGGCTTTAAATTCTGAGAACCTGAATTAAATGTTTTGGTACATTCCTGACTCTTTAAAAACATATTACATGCTGAGAAATAATAGAAGAAAAAATAAGACCTCAATGGCCATATTTTCTACTTCTGTCTTGTGTTTGAGTCCATGTAATATTTTTATGTGGTATCTAATCTCTCTGTGAGCAGCTCCCTGAGCTGTCCTCTGGGTTTTCAGCATGCATTCCTTCCCCTTTAGGAAGAGGACTGTGTTTTATAAACTCTTATACCTAAACTTGCCACTCATAGGTCTTTATGGTAAGTGAAAATTGTGTGAATGGGTGCAAGTATTTTATTTGAATTTAATAGGAGGTTTTCTTTTAGTTTATAGCTATTAAAAATGCTATCTTTTTAGTTTATTTTTGGTCTTGATATGACTTTTAAGTACAACAGTTACCAAATAAGTGATATGTTCCATTTTCACAGTGGTTTATTATACATACAACTTTTCACAGTTTCCCATGTGTCTGCTTTTCTTATTTATTCTTCCAATGATTGTGATGGGCTACCATAGAATTAGCAAACCCTATAATCACTGATCCCTTCTGCATATATTCCCACATCTAGCTGGAAAAGCATGGAGGCTATTCCTATAATTCTTAATGAACTCCAAACACTCTTGATGACAATAAAAGAAAATGCAAAGCCATTAGCAACTTACCAGAAGGGTAGAGTAATCGGTAGTCAGGGCTATTGGGAGCTGTGGGGCTATTTGGAAACAAATTTTTATTTCACCAGCAGCAGAGTAAAACAAGCTGCAGAGACCTACCCTACATTTTTTTCCCCTTAAGGTCTTTATCCTCTTTTTTCTCTCCCACTTCCATGCTGATCGTATTTGCCAAAAAAGCTGATCAAGCATGTGGAGATTTCATTCACACACATCAGAGTGGGAAACTTTCATTGTGGCATTAGTAACTAAGCCTTCTCTCTTATCCCATTTCCAAGTGCACCTTTGCTTGTTCAGTTTTTAGAAACATTCACTATTATTGGAGAAAAAATGCCCAGTATCCAGTATTAAGTAAGTATTCAAAATTAGCATGACTTTTTTAGTGGAATACATTTAAAAGGAAGTGTAACTTCCAGCCTTATTTTGTTTTTCACCTGTTTAGTTGATGTTTATTTTAACTGTCTCATGTATTGTGTAATAATCTATGAGTTGGTTCCTTGTTCTGTATTTGCCAACTTGTATTTGCCAACTATTTGCCAAAACAGGTTCTGTTTTGTTCTATTCTATTCTATTCTTTATTTAAAAAATAAGAACAGAAAGCACCATGAACTTGATCTTGCCCAACCTGAGGAGACACGAGCACTGACATTTAGGGGGTCTGCCAAGAACTTCTCTCCAGCAGGTCCATCAAAGAGCCACACTAACTGTGTCTTTGATGCAAGCTACAGGAATTAATAAAGGAAATTAACACAAGTTCTTGTCTGTATTTTCTGCTTCTAGTGTCTGGTCTTAAGACTCTCCTATCACTATGAATACTCTAGGTTACTGGTATCTGAACAGATGCCTTTATCTGCCTCATTTTTAAATTGAATGGTTAGGACCTTTTAAATTATTCACCAGTGTTAACCAATATTTGAGCAGAAAAACCTCAGTCAACAAACCCATTTTCTTTTAATGAGTTCACTTCATTGAAATGCAACTCATAAAATGCCATCATTGCAAAAAGGCTGGTTCTCAAACTTTGGTTTTATGGTATTAAATGTCACATTATTTTCAAAAATGTCCAGGATGGTTTGCAATTCCTTTAGGTACTCAAACACCCTTCACATTGCTGGATTTGAGAAGTGTGGTAGGATTTTATCTTTTTGACTACATAATTGTAGAGTCTTTACAGAGATTATCTAAACTACAGGTGTGAGCTCAGATGAGAGATTTTAGCATTCACATTTCCCTTTGATTTCAAAGTAATCTGAAGCTGTTCAGGGCCTTAGAGGAGTGTGTTCTTGCGCTGTATTTCTGGTACATACTGGTTGGTAGTTAATTGCTCTCACAGGGATAAGCTGTGTAAGTGTCCTCACCCCAGAGGCTGTCTGGGAGTGAGCCAAAGTCCCAGCTCACTTGCTCTCTCTGACTTCTCCTGCAATGGATGATGAGTGTCATTTAGCAATTAGCAATAAAAAAATATCATGTGGAAATAATATTATGAAGTAGAAAAGAGGGTTTCTAAATAGTCAGTTCTACTGTGCCATCAGGTTTCTTTTCTCTGCCAAACACATCTTCATTTGAATGGGGTAAAGCACAGATAGGTAAATAGTAGGCATGGTTTGAGACAGACTCACTGCAGGCCATTAATTTCCATCTCAGTATCACAATGGTGACCTTGGCCTAATGCTTGGCTTGAGAAAGTGCCCCATGTAATCAAGCAGAATATGGGCAAATACCTCATGGTCTTGCGTGAGAGGACTGATCTCCAGTCTAGAGATCTAGCTGAGAGGTTACAGTTTCTTTTATGCTAAACTGGTGTTGAAAAGTATTCATTGTTTCCTGAAAAAGACTAGAAATTTTGCTGTGCTCTGAGAAGTTGATGCAACCCTTGAACGGGTGATCCTGATCCTTCATGCCCCCTGAGTGGTTCATAAACTAGGTACTTTGTCTAGGTAAAGACTTCCCTGCTGAGGGGGAATTATCAACTAGCAGAGAAATCACAGAGGTGCCTCCAGTCTCATACAGGCAGGACACACGATGGAGCCTGCCTGGCCATCCCAGCCCTCCTAGGCTGCCATGACTTTCCTCTGCAACTCTCATTTGAAATCCTGTGCACTGGAAGGCACCTCCAAGGGTGCCAGGCATGTACATCCAGGTTAGACAAGGTGTGACAATTAACACCCTGGAAAAAAATGACACAAAGGTGAGGAGGATTAGTGCCTCTCTGTGTGCCATCACAGCCACTTGAAGTGGATGAATTATCTTGGCATAATCTGCAGCTCCTGGAGACATACTGCCTGGAGCTTTATGCTGTTCCCACTAGGGGCTTGCATTCAAACAGCACATAAATGCAAAGTCTCACCCCAAGAAATCCATTTCTCCTTGGGGAGAAATCCCTCTTCCTCCTTTCTCCACCCCCAATCCCACCCTGCTGTGCAGCACACAGAGATCCCTGCAAGCACAGGCTCTGCACCAAGTCCAGCCAATAAGTGATTTGGTTGAAGACACGGTATTTACAGGCTCTCAGGAGGCTCATTGTAAAAATCTGAAAATTAATTGATGTATAATAAGACAGCACAGTATCTTCAAGGATTTCTTGTAGCCTTCTCCTAGTGCTTGGGCTAATATTTCTCTTTGCAGCAGTCATCTCCATATATCTTCTGTAATGTGGTGGAATCAGTTCCTTGGATATTTTTTTTTTGAATTCTAGTTGCCAGACAGCTATAGACCAATTAATCTAGAAGTATGCACATTTGGGGCTAGTATTCTCTAGTGACTCAGCAATGTAACAGATGGCAAAATATTTCATATTTATTTCCATTCCATTTCTATATTGGAAATGAACCCAGACATTTTATTTTTTTTGACAGTCAGACAACATCTGTTGAGAACACTGTCAGCTGAATTACAACCTCGCTGGCAGGTAGTTGGGTAGACAGCGTGAATTACTTTCAGCTATTCTGTATGTGGTTAAATCTCTTTCTCTACTGCATTATTTTCATTATAACTGCTGGATTTATGGATGTTGACTAGCTTTACATTGTATCTCTGAGAGTTTAAGTTTGGTCTTATAAAGATTTGATGCATTAAGATGCTGAGCATTAAGTTGTGATATCAGTGGATTTATTTGTACTCATTCCTTAGCCAAGACCAATTAAAGGAAGAGATATTTTTGAGGGAACAGGCCAGGGGCTTGGAGGAGATGCACTTCACTGCCGTGGAAAGAACTCAAGTGTGGGAGTGACTTGGAGGATTGAGTCCCAGGAGCTGGTGTGATCCAGACATATCACAGTCTGAGATATCTGAGCTGAGAGAAGGCTGCCAAGTGCTCTCTCTCCTGGTGCAAGCAGCATACTAGACTTCTGGCAGTTCCCAAACAAAATTTTTCCTGGGGACGCAGGTGTGGAAGTTGAGGCCTTCCATTGTGAGAGGATGAGGAGCCTGAGCATCGGGGGAAGCTTGATCTGAGAGAAGGGATTTGGTATTTTTGTGCAAAGATCAAAACTCCCTGAGCAGCAAAATTAGCAGTTTCATCTAGGCTTGTTGTCCTGTGTCTTGTCTGCCTTATCTCATGCTTATCTTGTATGTAGTAAACTCTATTCCTGCCCTCCTGAGCACTATCCATACTGCCAGTCTACCTCTGCAACAGCAGTCAATTCTGCCTCTGGTCTATTCCCCCTCCACAGTACTCCAAGTCCTCTTACATTTTTTCTGCTCTTGAGCAAGGCACTGTGTGTGATGATCAGAGGCACATACATATTCATTTTCTAGAGAACATATGGCTGTGGACTGGCCAGCTGCTGCCAAACAGATTGAACAACAGCTGAGTTCTCCTCCCGTTTCCAGCAGACATTTCAGATTTTCAGCAAATATATTTGAGTGTCCTCTAAGATGTCTACTGTCTGCCAAATACAATTAGGGTAAACTGATGGACAGATAGGACAGA